GTAGGAATTATGTGGAAAACTTGGTCGCAAGTGAGCGCTGTTTCCGTGGAATGGCCCCAAACATCACTCCTCGTCATGCCCTTGTAGAAAGATCTGGTTTTTTGCTTTTCCATGTGAGCCTTTGAAAGTGAGATGTGCACTGTTAGATTCCCCATGAAAAGTACTATCGAATGATATGCACTGCCCGCACTCAAAACATTGTTTTTCACCGTTTCTAGCATTCTGCCCATTGCCGATCGCGTTCCCCAGCCCTTGGCGGCCACGTGCGATTCACGTGCGCGGTGCGTGACGCCGTTCCCACGCTCGCGCAACAGCCATAGCGACGTATCGATCGGTCTGCCGGCCGAAGGCCATCGGCCGTCACGTGAGCTCTCACGCACCACGCACGTGAATCGCACGTGGCCGCCAAGGGCTGGGGAACGCGATCGGCAATGGGCAGAATGCTAGAAACGGTGAAAAAACAATGTTTTGAGTGCGGGCAGTGCAACATATCATTCGATAGTACTTTTCATGGGGAATCTAACAGTGCACATCTCACTTTCAAAGGCTCACATGGAAAAGCAAAAAACCAGATCTTTCTACAAGGGCATGACGAGGAGTGATGTTTGGGGCCATTCCACGGGAACAGCGCTCACCTGCGACCAAGCACGTCATATATTTCCTACAGACAAGTAAGCGTAGTGTAGGAAGTGAAGAGATTTCGTCGCTATCTCCTCAGGTTTCTCCAAAAAATCTCTTGGAAAATTGGGAAATGTCACGAAATGAGACTGCTAGTCCTGCTGAAAACTGATCTAAGATTCTCGTTCGAACTCAAGAGAATGGGATTTTCGGCGCAGAGACTACACGTCTCACCATTCAGCTCCTTGAAATGAAATAGAAATCATGGAAACTTGAAAAAAAGTTTCAATTAATCTCGCAATCTAGTGCACAAAGTCGAGTACGTGGCGCATTCTGGGACAATGCCCCAAGCCCATCTTTCTATGAAACGATCAGGCTCCACTAGTGTGATTAGGTACGCATCACATCCAATCAGTTATTTCTCGAGATGAAACTCGAGTGCATGGCGCAATCCTATATGGAGCTTTTCCAAAGTATCAAAGCACATTCTTATAGTGTCCGACGAGCTGAATTCAAAGATATCTTCGGATTCTCGAAAGCTCAATTTTGAACCGAGTTATAACGAATTCACGAAATTAACGAGGATTCGCGTTATTCGCGTGAATTTTCGATTTCAAACGGCGAGTACTGTATCTCTTTACCTCTACCTCTTAACTAATCGTGTACCTCCATAGTTTCCAATGCATACAGCTCTCCTCTACCGCTTTTTATTACTCATTGACTTATCTTTAGCGTGATGGCACTGACTCACCCACTTCACGGACATTACATTCACGGAAGATCCCCACATGGACGTGCTGACACCGGAATGGCAGAGATGAACGAATTTCTGCAGAAGGAGCGAGTGAGCAAGCACCATTTACCTAAGCAAACGTGATATGGCGTTTAGTGCTGATTAAGGATGATCTTTGTGGTTTTCGTGGTCTGGAGCCCACCTCGCATCTTCAAACGTTCATCGTAAGCCTCCCGGTGACACTACGAAGTCGTTACGACGAAATCATGACCTCAATGAGGAACAGTTCAGCGCAAATTCGACTGAGCGGTCTTGACCAGACAACTGCAAAGGTACTTTTCACTTGATGTTGCTATGAAAAAGCTAAAAGCATACATTGCTCGCTTAGATGGCAGGTACAGTTCAAGCACACGAGCAGATGAACACACTTCTCCGTGAGTTCATCGACCACTCTACGACCGATATGGAGTACACAATCAGGTTCAATTTTCGGGTCATTTGTAAAAAATGGCCATTTAGTGCAATACATAGTTGGTGCCGTCTGCAGTAACACAGTTTTTACTGGGGATAGGAACATTGGGGTGGATCTGATGATGGCATGGGTCAGGCAATCCGAAGCTTCCTCCCATGCGACAACTTGGGAGAGAGGGGGGGAGGGCGAGAGGAATGTCACACTTCCTTAGGAAGACCATAACAACCCAAATCTTCCAGAACTAATCATTTGGAATAATGTCAGATGTATTTGGAGAATTTTGAATGGTCTTTTTATTCGACGAGTCTCCAGAAGTAATCGCTTTTCAAATGGAGAAATAGGGTCGGATAACTAAGACGAAATCTCTAGCTTTTTAGAGATCGATCCTTTGCCGAAGCGCTGCTTGACACTGAATTGAATGACACCAGCCAAATGGGCAATTTTCTAAGGTGAGGACATTGATTAGTGCTAATGCATGGCTTGTCTCTTCGTCTACGCTCAAAATTCACTGATTGAAAAATTCTGGCGGCAGGCGTTTAGACGAACAGTGCGGTCTAGCTTACATCATAGCTATGCATGACTGTTCCGATTTGAAAGAACTACCTGCTTCGGAACGGTTTATTCGACTTTTGAGGATTGAAGGGAATAAAAACCAGTGCAGTAGAGTGTCACTTACAGTCCAACCCAGGGATTAGGCTCATTACTGGGAACCGCGCTGATTTCGTGGGTCTGAACCTACGAAAGCCGTGCCAGCGTCGTAAAGCAAAATGTGCCGCTAGAGCGATGATCGTTAAGGATTTGCAACCATCACAGCTTCTCCACAGACAGTGATGATGTGAGTTCAGCCTGCTCCTTTATACTACGTGCTCTTTCGCGTGTTTTGTCTTTCCTAGTCAGTCTCCTTTGTACACACCTGAGCTCGTCTTAGTTTCTTCAGGGCTTGATTCTAGCATTTTCTATGGCTTCGCTTGCTTTCATTTCCACGGTCAGTTTGCTCCGCTGTGTAAACTGGTGAATATTTACTATAGCTTTGCAGCTTGAGTATATACCAGTTTACACAATCTTGTACACTAGCTTTAGCCAAGGGCTTGCCTTTGAACCATGAACCCCTATCGCATTTTTGATTTACAGTGAAAAACAAAAAGACGAGGTACCCTCGATTTCGGAAGATGAGAAGAAAATCGAGTGCAGACCACACACCATAAGAGACGACGGCCAAGAAGAAAAAGCCGCTTCTTCTCTTGGCCGTCGTCCTTATGATGTGTGGTCTGCACTCGATTTTCTTCTTGCCTTCCAAAATAGAGAATATGTAGATCAGAATCGGGCTCATAAGAAATAGGAATGTGATCCGTTTCGACACCTACTAGACTAGGTAACCCATTGTATTCAGTTACCCTGTGAGGCAGAGCGCAAGAGTTGACGTGGTAAGAAACCAGAAGGTAATGCTTAACGTAAAACATGTGAAAGTTTTAGGTCAATAATTTCGGTTGACTATTGTAAGCGAATGCTTTCAGGGACCCATCAGAAGTCGGATTCGCCAGCTGCTTTCTATACGGCCGTGAATGGACTTTTTTCTCGTTTGAAGCGACACTGTTCGCAGTGCTGTACCTTTCGCTAGGATCGCTATCGCTCGCTGCTGCTACCGTATTCTGCTTTACGCACGGCCTCATCGGAATCACATCATTGCTATGTAAAAATCATCTTGTGAAGAGCAGCCTTGTGGATCATCGGTTTTTGATTTGATTCTCTGAGTAGGGAGCCCCTACGTGTTTGGGAGCGAGTAACCTTTGCGCGCAATAACGCAGAATTTGGGTTGATCGAGTTCCCTGTTCTATTCTACCGTGCTGTGTCTTGACGCGCAACAGTTGATAGACAAGGTTTCTATAAGTTCAGTGAGTAAATGGTGTAAATGTAAGCCTACGCTTCCTTTAATGTGTTGACGAGTAACGAGTTAGATTTGTATAGATTATCGATTGCGCGTTCCTATCTAGTATCTCACAACTATAATTATCGTCCGGTATCATTTGGACATATCACCTGGCTCGTGATATTACACAGACTTGTCCCGCTGCGATTGTATCACGTTGTCAGCTTTTGTTCATGATACTATCGAGACAAATTGAATCACCTGACATAGGGAATTGTTGAAGGCAAATTCCAGGTTAAAATGGGGGAGTTGCCTGTTCCGATATGAGGTGCTTGGTGCCAGGTGAATCAAGGTTAAAGAAAGAAGCAAGAAATACCTTTGAGGAAGCCTAAAATTAGAACTTCCTCTACGTTAGTTTTACAAGCCAGAACTGGTTTTTCGTGTCTGGACGTGTTGACAGCAACTACTGGCTCTGTGCATCAATCACACGGCCATAAAAACTGAGCAATAAAACCTGTTTCCAGTTTTCTTATACTTTTCTCTTCATCTGCCCTCTTTTGTTTGCTTCCTTCCCTAAAAACTTGAACTTCACTAAAATGACGGCTGGATTATCGTGAAGGCTCTAGATAGTATAGCTTTCAGTCTCCGATATTCATTATATCTTTTCTTATCGGAACCTTGTGTCTCAGGATGTTACCGCAAAGGAAATGAGAAATGAAGCGTCCGATTACTACAGAAATACCACTTCATTTCTTTGGCGATGCTTCGCACTGGAAATGCCGCCTACGTCCACCAGGACACTTGCGGGATCTCAGGCGCACCAGTCTCTGATTCGTCAGAGTTTTCGGTTCACCGATGAACAGGATGGGGCTGAAGGACTTGTTGAGCCCAATGCTGCGCAGCGACGAGCAACCGTTTAATGTATCATTTAAGTCTATAGAGGGACATCCTGTTCACGTTTGCTCTCATCGCAGTCAATGACGGACCGCAATCTTGAACGTCAACAGCGGGTCCCCGCATCATGCCGCTATTTGGCGTAACTCTGCACCTGGTGCGGCCTTCAATAGTAAAGCTACTGCAGGTTATCGCCTTCTTGGCGATTTACGCCAACAGCTTCTTCACATTTATGCCATTCTTGACAACTGCTGACTAAGGTGACGCGAGGATAACGAAATATAACCATCATTGCTGTATGCAACCGATAGTGGAGATGACTATTGGTTCCCTATAATCGCGCTTCCCCTTTTCTTTGTCGGAAGAGAGAGTGGAACCTCAATGCTCGAAAATCGCAATTGGATAGCAGTGCTGCACGGCATAAGTTCGTGCTCCCATGCGACCGTTGTGTGACAGGAAGGTGACAATTTTGATTTCTGTTCCCAACGTGGCAGACCTCCATGCCTACATCGCGGAAAGGATGCAGGCATACCGTCGGTATGCACACGCTTCCTTGAATGGCTAAATAATCTATAAAGGCTCCTATATAACCAACCAATTATTAATATTGAGCAAAATGATTTGAGATAATTGTTATGATGTTTACACTGGCAGCCTCTCCTACGGCAGTATAAAAGGAAGCTGCAGTAGGGTCAGCATTCATTCTTCTTCATCAGTATCCTTCTATAGTATTCGTATATCTTCTAGTCATTTTGCTGTGTGGTAATAAATATATAAGAAGACCCGCGTAGCAGCAACAGAAGCAGCACTCAAGAGCGATATATAGTACATGGGCATCGGCCGATATTTTCCCGACAGGAGAACCAGGAGCAGTGCGTGAACTATTGAAAACTCTCTACAGCTACCTTCCTCGTTTTGTTTACTCTGAGAGGTGAGTTCTCTGTTAGCTGTAAGACAAGGTGTCTTAACAAGAGCCAAAACCGAATCCTTAGATCGTACTCAAGTCTTTATCCAGGGAGGACACAACTTCGTCGAGGTACAAAAGCTGATCGGAAAACCAGAAGCAATGATGCTCATAGAGGTGCAAAAGGTTGGAGAAGCGATGGACCGATACGCCGAAGCAGTCGACAACGCGACCAATCCTTCTCGAAATCGGACCTTTTGGAACGGATTGAAAAACTCGATGATGTCGCACAGAGAGTCAGACGAAGAAGAAACCTTGATGCATATAACATTTTGAAAAAGCTCACGGAATTCCAAGAAGGGCTGCTTGATTTGGAAAAACGAAGAAGCATATCTTTGGGAAATTCCGGAGTCGCACTCACATAAATCCCACTACACATATTCGATGGAGATATTTGGGAGGAGGAACCCTTCTGGCAAAGTTTTGGGAGAAGGGAGTTTCTGTAACGTACAGAAATGATCTACCCTTGTTTACTCCCAACAGGCAGATTGTTGATATCCGCTGTTTTCACTCTCATTCCAAAACATCACTGCTATATAAGCTTTCGACGCTAGTATGTCTCAATTTATTTATCTCTACTGTGCTATCCACTTCAATAAACGACTACGACTCGGTTCCTGATACAACTGGCAGCAGCAGTGAAACAGGTACAATTTAGGGACATTGACCTTTTCAAGTTGCTAGTTATACGTACCCACTAGTCAGTGCTCATTCGAAGAGAAGTATGGAGACACACAGGCACTGGTGGAACGACTCTCTTCTCCTGCAGTCAACCGAATTTGATAGCGACCATTTCAAAGACCAAGAAATCTTGTGCGAGCAATTGATTTCATCACAACACAACTAGATCTCTGCGGAGAACACATCTACAACACATATCTACAGGAACGGCTCCTTGAAAAATTCTGTGTGGACGTTCAAAGACATTCTTTTTTAGAAAGCAAGATTCCAAACGAAGGGATCTGGAACACTATCACTCAAGAACCGTAAAAGGATTTGTAGAAGCTGAACTGGGAATCATAAGTAGAACGGGACGTTTTTAGCAACCAAGAATAGAGTGTAATAGAAAGAAAGAGCCGCGACGGGCGGAAAACTAGTGGAGCTTCAATCATCAGAGCTTTGTTTTTTTTTATGTACAAAGACAGGAGATCCTGCGAAAACTGCTCCGAAATCGCTGCACTCAAACTGCACCATCGTGCAGAACACGCTTTTTTAAGAACACTTCTCGAGACATCGGAAAACACAAGGAAACAACCGGCGAAAGCAACACAAAACGCATCTGTAAAATTTCAAATCTCAACACACTCAACACAATCTCAACACAACCGAGCTAAAACGAATACCGTAACTTCGCCGCCATAACATAGCAAGGACAAGGGGTTCTAGCAGGACAAGTGAAAGTACTTAATCAAACTACGGGCGCTTTGAAACCTGTTCACGTCATACTCGATTCGGACACCGATCGATCGTTCATCAGCAACGGAATCGCAAGGAGATCGCACTCAACGACATTGAGTCTAGAAGGCTCACTATCGTTTCTTTCTGCTAACAGCGGCGATAATCGAAAGCATGTGGCGTCACTGCAGTCCAAATGTGGGACACAGTGGCACAATGCACGCATTCAATGTCACAAGAATCGACACAATCACGGAGCAACTGCAAAGGAACCGCCTCTGCCCTGCCTTGATTAAACGGTTTCTCTGTGACAATGGGCTGCAACTCTATGAATCCAGAGCTGACAAGCATCCGCTCGCAAAGTCTTTTGCGCTGCACCGACCTCATTTCTCTCCTGGGTCGTGACTTAGCGTCACAGCACATAGTACCATCAAGATGTCGGCTCATTTATTTATTCGAATCTTGGCCATTTAGTAACAGGTTGCAATAGCAATTTTCTTACGACGAATGTCAGCAAGGATGGAGGAAATTATGAGGCACACTGTGAATGCAGTGGAGACTTGAAGAAACAAAAACATGCGCAGTCATGGGAAGACGTCCACACTTTAGAGTAATGTGGAGTGGGCGAATTTGTTTTTCCGAAGACAGAGGAACGTCGAAGGACAGACCACACTATATGGAGCGCATTTGAACGAACAATTGGAAGAAAGAGGGACGGCTAATATTTACGCTTCCTCTAAACAATCACCAGAAAACAAGGCTTGTTGGATCTAAAGCGCCTACAAACAGCAAAATAAAAGCTATTCCGTAAATATTAGGACAGCATCAGGGAACAATACAAGCTTAACTAGAACGCCATATCATTGAGAAGTCGATGAAGACGAATCTCCCGATGAAGAAATCGTACACTAGCTGCGTCATCGCGCAGTTTTCGCTTCACAAAGAACTCAACCAAGTAACGAGTCGTATGTGATGCCTCCGCCCACTTCAAAAACGCTCCCCCTCTCAACGATGTGCTACATCAAGGGCCAGTCATGCTCAACTTTGGGATATTCTACTGCAATTTAGAATAGAAGACGTTACCAGGAAAAGCGTTCCCACGATTAATGCCCCCCCCCAAAAAAAGGGATACCATTCGCGTTTTATAGCTAACAGACATAAATGAAGCGATGGCCAGAGACAACAACACCATAAACCGCTTAAGTCGTGTCACATTCGGGATAATATGTTCGCCATTTCTCTTCGCTGGAACAATCAAACATTATCTTAACATTACCCAAAGAACACTGAAATTGGTTGAGAAGTACTGAACAACGTATGTAGACAATGTGATAATGACAACAAAATCCGTGGTGGAAGCGATACACTTATACAAAAATCAAAAGCCATGTGTGAAGGATTAAAATGGACTTCCGAGAGTTTATTTATAATGATAACAAACTCAAGCGACAAGTAACAACAAAGATCTAAGCAAAGTCACTACTTAGAAAATACTATGTGTACAGTGGAATTCAATTCAAGAAAATGCAAAAAGATCTGTCTGTGAACAAATAGCCTCTATCTATGACCCACTAGCATACGTGACACCAACCAAGCTTCAAAAACTAGTTCTGCAGCATCTGC